CTAGCAGCATTTACAAAACAGGCCACACTAAAACAGAAACAATGGTTGCGAGGAAATTAGAATATAAGATGGAGCCCTCAATAAAATTCGATATCTAGAAAAGTAGCCGCAAATTTGACGATCTAATAAGAAATTCCAAGTAGTAGTTACTGGTGAGTAAAAAAGATGTAACTCACCATTTCACCTATCTGTTTGCAGATCTCTAAAGGGTTATCGTCACAGCCCTTGTTTGTGACAGTTAACGTTGTTAGGATCGTACTATCTTCCAAAACTACATGGAAAAAAAGCGAAAATATCAAGTTAAATTATAGAACAGAAAACGTTTGACCAATGACAAAAAGGGAAAGAAGGGTACGCAGGGGAGAGAGGAGGGAAGGAAGTAAGGAAAAATAAAGTCTGACCGTAAGGACCGACTAACGGAAAGAACTCATGCAGTGAAATTGGTAAAACGCACAAAATCAAAGTATTCACTGTAATTCCCCTCGGCAGCCAAAAGAAAACTGTTCAACACGCAAAACAAATTCAGATTTACTTACCAAGTTCGAATCGCTTGATAGCCTCCCCTAACACGTTTTTAACGGTGCACAGATACAACCCAGAACTACCAAATTCTGCTGTAAATGTTACATTTGTCAGATTTGACATCCAAGGTATATCATTATCTGGAGATGTCCAGTTTACTGTTGGCGTTGGATTACCCATTGCAAGACATGAGAGGTTCACCAACGTCTTAGGTACCACGGGAATTGAGACATTTGCTGGGTAAATGACTGAAGCGGCATCTTAGAAATAAACAAGATGTCTCTAACGGGTTTATAAACAATCTTTTCAACTTACTTATAACCAAAATAACATCACATATGACATAGCAATGGCATTAGTAGCAACAGTTTGATGTACACGTAGTAGTGCGTGTAGTGGAGACCTCAATGTGGTATTTAAGTGCACCTCTGTAGTATTTAAAGTTTACAGAATGATTTGTGTAAACATTTCTTAGTAGTTCATGTGTTCATTAACTCCATGATCCGTAATCAAAAAAGTTTCTCGGCGTTCATCACGGCCTCACAGTTTTGTAGCAGTGCGCACCACATATTTATAATTATCTTTTTGTAAAAAAAATACCTCTTAGTCGGCGCGTCGGGTATGTTACTGGTCAATGGGTGAGTCAGTGAGTGAGTGAGAGATGTGTGTATGCCACACCAATCAGATTGGATGTACTGTAAACAGCCAATCAAATTTGTTGTTGTGAAGGTAAATAGTATGTGAGGAGATTTGATCCTGATACAGTTCAGAACGGCAATATTTATTCTTCTATAAAAGAGGAATTATTCATGTATTGGGCTTATTTCGACATCCTCTGAGGCGAGGATTTTG